GCGGACAGCCATACAACCACCATTTGTACCTCGGAATAAAATAGTTCCCCTCAAAAGAGAGGTGACATGAGCGTGTGTATGCTCAAGTTGGTTTACAGAAATATCTGTTTCTGTTTGTTTAAAAGAACTACATTCACATAATATCATCATTGGATGAGAAAGGTATGTTAAGAACAAGGTAGGTACCGGTAAGTCAGTCTAAATGATAGCGTCGTAATACATTTACATCAAATACAAGACGCCAAAATGGCCGACACAATAAACGTGACGGGAGATATTTCCAAAGTTGTTAATGAACCTCTGGTGGTTACATGTGTTTATCATTAGTCAGTTGTCCAATCATTGAAAGATAATTATAAAGCTGTGTCAAATAGGTACTTAAGGTAAATTCATAGATTGATGTAGATCGGATCGAGTCGATACTACGTTGGTTTGGATGTGCATTTCTTCGATTTGTTCACTAGGATTGGTAGTAGCGAGGATATTCGTGAACGATCATGCATACAAACTCGCTGATGTTTCTCAATGTACGCTAAAACGCTGAGGTCTTCATTATCAGACACAACGCTTCTGTGTGTATTCTAGACTAGCATCTAGTCTCTGAAATGAATATATCGTACAGAAAAAAACAGTTGTTCAGTTATCTTAATAAAAATATAATAAAAGGAAGCCCAGTGACTCTCTTCATTTTCAGAATCTAGACTTGCCAAACATTATAGACTTGCATGGGCTGTATTTGATTTATATTTGTATCAGGGTCTGTAAGACAGACTACATGTATTTGTATTCGTGCAAGGGAATTCCCAGGGGTTCCCTAAGGAATACTGAAGCAGTTCGTAAGTTAACGTCATTTCAAGACTATAGCCTCGTTAAAAACGTATGAACGTTAAGTTATGTCGTTCATACATTTATGCACGTCAGTGTCGCGGTCATGTGACCGGCCTCTCTTCCAATGGAAAAGCCGTATATCGTGTAAACTTCAAATTAAATAAATATTTCATAATTAGTCTTGGGTCCGGACGCTTATTTATAATTTGGGTTCACGCATTGAGGTTCTTGTGACATGTTCAGAAGGATTACCAAGATTTTAAGGAGGTTTTCACGTCCAATTTACCATGACTTTGGGAAATAGTCGATTCTGATTGGTCAACCAGAGGTAATAAATCACAATAACCATCTCTGATTGGCTGAATTGACGACCGCATCACCGCGGAAGATGATACTAACAGGCGAGTACAAAGCTATTAAGTATGTGCGTGAGTGAGTGAGTTGGGTTTAAAGATGCTTTTAACAATATCCCAGTGATATCACTGTATATCACGGCGTGTCGTCTTAATGTGGGAGGAACACCCGACGTGAAGCAGGTCTCTGGCGTTTACCACATTGGTAATGGCTATGGTGCGGACAAATCTGGAAACGTAATCGGGTCGAACCGGGATTCAAACCTACCATCATAGATTTCTGGCATGCTCACAGAACGCAACTCTCCACAGGGAATTGCTGCGCAATAGAGAGACTGTGCGTTTGGTTCCAAATTCAGTTTAGCGCGGTTAAATATAGATTCTCACCCAAGTGTCCTTATATATCAAATATATCAACACGAGTTGAGAAATGTGGAAAAACTCCGAGGCTTGCCGAGGAGTTTTTCCACTTTTATCAACGAGAGTTGATATATTTGATATCAAAAGACACGAGGGTGATATTTTATTTACCATTAAACATCATTCTTTCACCTTTTCAGTTATAGACAGACATAAGCAGTGTCTTAAGAGTAAAAAGTAACAGCTTTAGTAGCAGAGCCTTTAGTCATTTGATTGTGACGTCATGATAACCGATGACGTCATAATGGTCTGCAAAGCATTGTGATGCAATTTCATTGAAGCGATATCTACAATGTACCCGTGCGATATCTCCTGTGGGAGCCAATTTTGGATGATAAATGTAAGGTAATCTAGCTCAGACAGTACGTTGTCTGAATATGAAGGTCGGATGACTTCATGAAACTGTATTAAAAATGGTTATGCCATGAAACCAAAAGGCGATGGTGAGGACATTCCTCCACATTGGCTATGTACTATGATTCCGAACCCACACATCCACATCCTACAGCCAACATTCCCGCACCAATAGTGCCACTGGACCAACTATCTGTCATCATAATCCGCCCCAAGGAAATGACCATCTGGGCACCAATCTTTATGGTTGTTGCGAGGTAATGGTAATGACGTGAATTCATCAGTTATTTGAGAATTGCATTGTGTTCAGCTTTATCTGTATGCTCGAGGTCAGGACACTGTGTTAGTGGATCAAGTTAAACAAGGACAAGCTGATTAGGCAAACATTCTCCTGAACATTTCAAACGTCTTTTTGAGGCATACAAGGTCAATCCCTACAAGACAAACAAGAAACTGGAAGAATCAATACTTTCTTACTTAATTGCTCCTAATTCCAATTCAGTTCTTAAATACCTCTTCTTAAAAAGTCTTTTTCTTGTTTTATATATTGTATTTCATGTTATATGTATTGAACAGAGCTATGATGTGAAACCTGTTTAAACGGTTTTAATCTCTCACGGCTAATGAGAGGGCCGATTACAGAAGCAGGTTCACACAACGTACTCAGCGCCCGACAACTCGGGGGTGAGACAAATGGACTGAACTAACGAGTCATGGGAGGTGTCCTTCTGAGAAGCGGTGTGGCTCCAGCCGTCCCTCGACTGGCGTTTGGACCAACCGACGACACCGCCTGTCTCGTCGTTTTAGCAAGATTGATATTTTATCAAGAATCCACTCTAATATGTATTATTCCCAAAAGTGCAAACCTTTTAAACATGATGAATATGTACACTGTCGTTGTTGACGAGCTGGGAACGATTTGATCTGGTAAACATATTCAATTTGAATAGACATTTTATGCTCACGTCAAAAGAATGCACTTGCTTAGACAAGTTATTGACGTTTTACGGGTTTATTTATATAACAATGTATGCATTTTCCGCACAAACACAATTCAGACATTTTGTATGGATTTAAGATAAACATAAGCTGGTATTCATAAGAATCCGACCCGTGAAGATTCCGGGGTAGAATAGGTATTCAGCAACCCATGCTTGCTGTAAAAGGCGACTATGCTTGTTGTAAAAGGCGACTAACGGGATCGGGTGGTCAGGCTCGCTGACTTGGTTGATGCATGTCATTGATCCCAATTGCGTGGGTCGATGCTCATGATATCAATCACTGGATTGTCTGGTCCAGACTCGATTATTTATAGACCACCGTCATATAGCTGGAATATTGCTGAGTGCGGCTTTAAACAACAAAACACCCAACCAATCATATGAATCCACGACATAAGACCAGTATGTTCCTCATGTAATACTACCTTGCGTAAACAATCATATCTGTATTATATCCCTGTTATACAATCCTGCTACCTTGAACCGGGCGTACATATTGTGTAACGCTAACTCACTAACGTATTGTAGGAGGACGGTAGTTTGTTTACATATTAAGGTAAACAAGACCATCGACCAGGAGAGTGAACAAACGTCACCCATATATTTATATCAATTTTAATCCATGCATCCAGATCACTGGTCAGGTATGAATATCAAGTATAAACTATTTCTTGCCGACATAGACATACATAGAGGACAGAGACCGACCTTGTCTGAGTCCTTCTCTAGTGAGTGAGTGAGTTGATATTTAACTTTACATCGGCAATATTTCCTCTACTCGTGACGAGAAGTTATACATTAATAATACATATATTTAGACGAAATAACCAGAATATCACAGATTAATATCTTAAACTGGCATCCAACCATAAAATGATATCTATATAAGTTACAATACAATATAAAAAAGGCCAGAGATCGTCAGCAACTGAAGGTAGATCATGGGGACTTACAGTACCTTTGCTACCTGCATGGACCCCAGCACAACTTACATCATTCCTTCGGGGGGGGGGGGGGGGGTCAGCCTTGTGGTTAAAGCGTTGGCTCGTCACGCCGACGACCCTGGTTCGATTCCCCACATGGGTATAATGTGTGAAGCCCATTTTCCGGTGTCCCCCGTCGTGATATTGCTGGAATATTGCTAAAAGCGGCGTTAAACCATACTCATACCTTCAGGTGTTGGCGACTATTGATGCATTTAGCCGAAATGTAAAAGAACAGAAATTGTACAATTAAAACTATGATAGGAATAACATACAGTGAATGATATGGATTTACGATACCCGAGTCCACCTCTAATTGTTTTAAGATATATTGTAAATAAATACAATAGCTATGTCAATGTATGAAATATGCGGGGCACGGGTGGCCCAGTCGTCTTAGGCGCCGCGATTCGCTGTGCAGAGTTGCGTCCCTTGGACACGCAAGAAACCTATGATTGTGGGTTCGAATCCCGGTTCGCCCCGATTATGTTTCTAGGTTTGTCAGCACCATACCCGTGCTCGTGGGTTTCACCGAAGTGGTAAACGTCTGAGACCTGCATCACTTCGGGCTTTCCTCCCACATTAAGCTGACACGCCGTTGTATAACTGGAATACTGTTAAAAGCGGCGTTAAAGCCAACTCACTCACTCACTATGAAACATGGATATTATACTTATTAGCAACGTTAACATATTTTAAATGTTCATATTACAAAGCGTTATCTGATATTTCACACGTCTGACTCTGCTCAAATACTTACCCCATGAGCTATTAAACAATAGAGGGAGGTGTGATGGTAGTTAATTCATATGCCCGTTCATGTGTCATGCTTGTGACATTATCTTCACAACACTAACAAATAAAATAGAGACATGTAAACAACGTCAATACAAATGAAATTGCTCTTTCGTTGAGCATCAGTATACTCACGATGAAGATCAGAGAAAGTTGGCCGACTTTATAAAGGAATGCGGGGGGTCGTGATGCACTTGCAACAACTGTAAATCTTAGTACATGAAAGGTTGACGGAAAGTGTCTAAATGTTTGGATAAGGACGTCTGTCAACGCCCGACCACAAGACGTAACCGTGTCACATGAGGACTTCTCAGCTCTATCCTTTCCTTGAACGGCGAGCTGTGGTACTCCACGTCGACGGAGCAGAATGCCTATGCAAATGTATGAATCATGGTTTGCGTTGGAAATGATTTTAATGTTGCTCGAATTATGTCTGTGGATTTACTTAGCAGGATATGAATGCATGTTTAACAGTGATTGTTTTGTACGACGTGTTGTAAAGTGGCTGGGTGAGTGGTGGAATCGGTGTCAATGTGACGGTGGTAATAGCGGTGTTGGTGGTAGTAGTGGTAGTAGTGGGAATAGTAGTAGCAGTAGCCGTAATAGTCATAGTAGTAGCAGTAGCAGCAGCATTTATAGTCATAGAAGTAGCAGTGGTAGCAGCAGCAGTAGCCGTAGCAGTAGCAGTAGCCGTCATAGTCATAGTGTAGCTGTGGTTGTAATAGTGGAAGCAGTAGGTGTAGCTGTGGTTGTAATAGTGGAAGCAGTTGGTGTAGCTGTGATTGTAATAGTGGAAGCAGTTGGTGTCGCTGTGGTTGTAATAGTGGAAGCAGTAGGTGTTGCTGTGGTTGTAATAGTGGAAGCAGTTGGTGTAGCTGTGGTTGTAATAGTGGAAGCAGTAGGTGTTGCTGTGGTTGTAATAGTGGAAGCAGTAGGTGTAGCTGTGGTTGTAATAGTGGAAGCAGTTGGTGTAGCTGTGGTTGTTATAGTGGAAGCAGTAGGTGTAGCTGTGGTTGTAATAGTGGAAGCAGTAGGTGTCGCTGTGGTTGTAATAGTGGAAGCAGTTGGTGTAACTGTGATTGTAATAGTGGAAGCAGTAGGTGTTGCTGTGGTTGTAATAGTGGAAGCAGTTGGTGTAGTTGTGGTTGTAATAGTGGAAGCAGTAGGTGTAGCTGTGGTTGTAATAGTGGAAGCAGTAGGTGTTGCTGTGGTTGTAATAGTGGAAGCAGTTGGTGTAGCTGTGGTTGTAATAGTGGAAGCAGTAGGTGTTGCTGTGGTTGTAATAGTGGAAGCAGTAGGTGTAGCTGTGGTTGTAATAGTGGAAGCAGTGGGTGTAGCTGTGGTTGTAATAGTGGAAGCAGTAGGTGTTGCTGTGGTTGTAATAGTGGAAGCAGTAGGTGTAGCTGTGGTTGTAATAGTGGAAGCAGTTGGTGTAGCTGTGGTTGTAATAGTGGAAGCAGAGGCTTGTTGATCAAACCTTGGTAAGTGTTGTCGTGGTACATCCATATGTTTGGTGGACAAAAGGAGAATAGGATTGACTTGTTGCTGCCTGTAACTGCAGTATTCACCTACTCGACTACTTATACCTCCAGGAAGTACCTGCTAAACATGCCCTCTGTAGCTGTGTTCCTAACCGCGCGGAGGACATTCAGGACATATGTTGTATTTATAAAACACTTACCTGAGCAATGCGGTGTTTGATTTACGAGTCACCATGTTCACATGCCTGTAGGTTCACAAACCACAATTATGCAGTTATGGAATAATTGTCATGGGAGTGAGATCCCGCCGCCCATTGCGTACAGCTCATCTTAAAGGTCATGACAGTTCAACAGGGCCAGCCGTGAGACTGAACCTAGTCTAAACCCAGGACTGAAGCACACCAGTAGCTGCTGGAAGACAGAGACTAAACTAGGCTTGCCAGCCGCCACCAACAACGACTTCATTCATCACACAGAACACACGATGTAGGGATGGTTGTAAATATCATATCGCAAATAGGGATGTATATTCATTATCAGGTAAACATGACGTGTGTCAGGGTGACGGTTACAAACACATAGCCCAAAATATACATTACCTTCGTTGCTTTGTAAACACTATGAAATCACATGTAATTCATAAGATATGAAGTGGTTTTTGTTTGGGGCTTTTTTTTATGATATACTAGTAGGACAAACCCGGACATGATCGGACAGCTTAGAGTAAATAGGAGGATATGATACCGTAATTCCTGCACTACAACGACCTGTAGAGACACAGTAGGAGCCACAGTGGGACACGTTATCCGACGTCATTTTCGTGGATGTATTACCGTAAATCTTGCACTACAGACACCTGATGGAGCCACGGTGGGAGACGTTGTCTGACGTCATTTTCGTGGATGTATTACCGTAAATCTTGCACTACAGACACCTAATGGAGCCACGGTGGGACACGTTGTCTGACGTCATTTTCGTGGATGTATTACCGTAAATCTTGCACTACAGACACCTAATGGAGCCACGGTGGGACACGTTGTCTGACGTCATTTCGTGGATGTATTTAGGTAAATCTTGCGCTACAACGACCTGTACAAAATAAAGCCACATTGGGACACGTTATCCGACGTCTTATGCATGGATGTATTACCGTAAATCTTGCACTAAAACGACCTTCATGTGGCCGTACAATCTACAGTCGGATACATTTGCCACTGAGTGCAAACCACGAGTACAGACAGTTACATGGGCATTATCGGGCAAATGTAGGATTCGCTACCAGGACCACCGGATCCAGGAATGGCTAAGGGACGCTACTCTGTTTTTTGTTTAATAATGGCTGCGGTTGACACGATGATTTTCGCCAACGCATCCTATACGTGACGTGTAACATTCTTTTCTCAAAGGGTGCGACATAACATACACAATATCCGTGAATGTCCACATATGAATGACGTAAGCTGAAGACATCTACATCAAGCATGGCGTCACCTGATGATCAGATACGGTGTGTTAGTGCCGATCACATCTGTTTGATTATACTCTCTGATGCTGATGCACCTGAAACGTCTGGACATGGAACTGATTCTGACGTCCAGGTGACGAGGGTGGATAAGAATCGATGTATGCAGGAGATACACACATAGATACACAGAGAGGTGGGGGCTGGGAATAGAAGAGACAAGGGGCACAGAGAGGGGGGTGGGGGAGGGACAGAGAGGCAGACGTAGAGAGAGAAAGAGGGCGAGAGGGGGGACGGGAGCGACAGACACACAGAGACAAAGAGAGAGATAGCGACAGACGCTCGCACATAGAGAGAGAGAGAGAGAGAGAGAGAAGAGAGAGGGGTAGAGAGGCAGACGTAGTAGAGAGAGAAAGAGGGCGAGAGGGGGGAGGGGAGCGACAGACACACAGAGACAAAGAGAGATAGCGACACACACGCACATAGAGCGTGAGAGAGAGAGAGAGAAAAAAGTGAGAAGAGAGAGAGGGGGACAGAGAGGCAGACGTAGAGAGAGAAAGAGGGTGCGAGGGGGGGGGGGGGGGGGGGGGAGCGACAGGCACACAGAGACAAAGAGAGAGATAGCGACAGACGCTCGCACACATATGTATAGAGAGAGAAGAGAGAGAGGGACAGAGAGGCAGACTTTGATATAGAAAAAAGGCGAGAGAGGAGGAGCGACACCACAGACAGAGGGAGAGGGGGCGAGAAAGACAAAAGGAGAGGGAGGAAGGTGATCTTAACAGCATGTGCAGTCACTACAAAGACATAATCTTCTCTATCGGAGGCTATTAAATATGTCTCTTTATCATATATGTAACATGCATGGGAATAGATTAAATACTTTTCATAACATATATCAAATGCTTGGGGAATATATTACATAGTGCTTTATTGTGGAATACATAAATACTTCATTACTTGGGAATATATTACACATTTCTCGAGTTGGCAACATTTTACACACTTCTCTTTTCTGGAATATATCATATACTCCTTCATTGGGAAATATATTGTATGCTTCCCTATTGGTAATATATTATACTTATATCACATATTTATTGGGGAAGACATCAAATACTTTGTTATTGGGGAATATATAACATACTTCTTTATTGGGGAATATATTACATTCTTCTTTATTGGGGAATATATCCCATACATGTACTTCTTTATTGGGGAATATATTACATACTTCTTTATTGGGGAATGTATTACATACTTCTTTTTGGGGGAATATATTACATACTTCTTTTTTGGGGAATATATTACATACTTCTTTATTGGGGAATATATTACATAGATGTACTTCTTTATTGGGGAATATATTACATACTTCTTTATTGGGGAATATATTACATACATGTACTTCTGTATTGGGGAATATATTACATACTTCTTTATTGGGGCATATATTACATACTTCTTTATTCTGGAATATATCCCATACATGTACTTCTTTATTGGGGAATATATTACATACTTCTTTATTGGGGAATATATTACATACATGTACTTCTTTATTGGGGAATATATCACATACTTCTTTATTGGGGAATATATTACATACTTCTTTATTGGGGAATATATTACATACTTCTTTATTGGGGAATATATTACATAGATGTACTTCTTCATTGGGGCATATATTACGTACTTCTTTATTGGGGAATATATTACATAGATGTACTTCTTTATTGGGGAATATATTACATACTTCTTTATTGGGGAATTCATTACATACTTCTTTATTGGGGAATATATTACATACTTCTTTATTGGGGAATATATTACATGCTTCTTGATTGGGGAATATATTACATACTTCCTTATTGGGGAATATATTACATACATGTACTTTTTTATTGGGGAATATATTACATACATGTACTTCTGTATTGGGGAATGTCTTACATACATGTACTTCTTTAATAGGGAATATATTACATACTTCTTTATTGGGGAATATATTACATACTTCTTTATTGGGGAATATATTACATACTTCTTTATTGGGGAATATATTACATACTTCTTTATTGGGGAATATATTACATACTTCTTTATTGGGGAATATATTACATAGATGTACTTCTTAATTGGGGCATATATTACATACTTCTTTATTGGGGAATATATTACATACATGTACTTCTTTAATTGGGAATATATTACATACTTCTTTATTGGGGAATATATTACATACTTTTGTATTGGGGAATATATTACATACTTCTTTATTGGGGAATATATTACATACATGTACTTCTTATTTGGGGCATATATTACATACTTCTTTATTGGGGAATATATCCCATACATGTACTTCTTTATTGGGGAATATATTACATACTTCTTTATTGGGGAATATATTACATACTTCTTTATTGGTGAAAATATTACATACATGCACTTCTGTATTGGGGAATATATTACATACTTCTTTATTGGGGAATATATTACATACTCCCTTATTGGGGAATATATTACATACATGTACTTTTTTATTGGGGAATATATTACATACATGTACTTCTGTATTGGGGAATATATTACATACTTCTTTATTGGGGAATATATTACATACTTCTTTATTGGGGAATATAATACATACTTCTTTCTTGGGGAATAAATTACATACTTCTTTATTGGGGAATACTTCACATACATGTACTTCTTTATTGGGGAATATATCACATACTTCTTTATTGCGGAATATATTACATACTTCTTTATTGGGGAATATATTACATACTTCTTTATTGGGGAATATATTACATGCTTCTTGATTGGGGAATATATTACATATTTCTTTATTGCGGAATATATTTCATATTTTTTTTATAGAGGAAGATACGATATATGCATTCCTATCAGAATATATTCACACGTATCTAATGGAAACGTTTTACGTTGTTCTCGTTTGAAAAATATACACACACCTTTTTTTATCAAAGGCAGCATTACACACTTTTCCATCGGGGGAAATATAGCATACACTTCAACCTGAAAATACATTACGTATGAGACTGTTATTATCTTGTCGTATGGTAAAGCTGTTATGAGAGCAGCCTCACTAGACAGAGACGTGCGAGTTACCAGACAGAGACGTGAGAGTCACAAGACATCTGTCCTGCTGAGCCTGCACGAGGAGATGAAGATGGGAAACACTGAGATATTTATCTTTATCACATGTCACTAATCTGTCGTGACCTCACCGTTAAAATGGTCACAGACCGTCGATTGAACCCCACGTGGGTATTGATCTTCACGGGTGTCGTGATCTCCACAGGAATAGATCAGATGTGTCACGTAATGTTCCAGATGATTATACAAAATAGGTGTGGCACTAAAGTCAAGTGGAGATATAATGCACTGCATTGTTGATGATGCTGATTCCATGGCGGACCTGTTATCTCACGCCCGCATCTCTCTCTGAGCAGAGTTGTGTCCCTTCGCAGATTAATGTCCCTTAGGTGTCAGTATTTGATTAGAATCCCAGATGGACTCTGGTAATGAAGCCTGGTGTGTAGGCACCATATGTTGTTAAGGCCTGCATCTACATCACTTCTCCAACACTAATCTGACTGGTTGTAATTATATAGATGATGCACTGTTCAAGGAGGCATCAGACCCACTAACTCCCCTGATTAAATAACAACACAACAGTTTGTACGTTACCACTGACCACCTGTATAAGAGAATAGTGTCAAAACACAATCAGAACGTAGGTC